CTCTCTGCCTTGTCTCTCCGTCATTTTAATGCAGGCAATTAAAAAGCAGCGAGCTCCTCCTTTGTGTAATTACCTAGCACATTGTCTGGCGAATTCAATTTCCTTCGGGGGGGGTAGTTTTCCTGGAATATTCTGAGCTGCACGTCCTCCTTGCGGGCTCCCATATCTACCTCCATTTGCTCTCAGCTTCTTTCCCCGCCCTATCCTGTTCCCTAGCAGAGCCCTGGAGCTGGGCGGGAAGAAGAGAAGTCGCTCAAGATAACGTTTTTTCTCGCGGGTGGGGAAAAAAAATAAAATAAACACATCGATCAGCAGTAAAGAGTAACGTGGCTGGAAGTACCTTTTGGTGGGTTTTTTCTTTTTTGCGAAGGCGATTCCGACGCGCTTACTCTAGAGTAACTCCTTCGCAAAGGCATAANCAAGGGTGGGAGTGACTAGGTAAAGAGCAAAATACAATAAAATAGCAGAGTTGGAAGGGACCTTGGAGGTCTTCTAGTCCAAACCCTGCCTAGGCAGGAAACCCTATACCATTTCAGACAAATGGCTATCCAACATCTTTTTAAAGACTTCCAGTGTTGGGGCATTCACAACTTCTGAAGGCAAGCTGTTCCACTGATTAATTGTTCTAACTGTCAGGAAATTTGTCCTCAGTTCAAAGTTGCTTCTCTCCTTGATTAGTTTCCACCCATTGCTTCTTGTTCTACCCTCAGGTGCCTTGGAGAATAGTTTGACACCCTCTTCTTTGCGGCAACCCCTGAGATATTGGAACACTACTATCATGTCTCCCCTAGTCCTTCTTTTCATTAAACTAGACAGACCCTGTTCCTGCAACCGTTCTTCATATGTTTTAGCCTCCAGTCCCCTAATCATCTTTGTTGCTCTTTTCTGCACTATTTCTAGAGTCTCCACCACTGCTCCCTGTAAGGTGAAGTAAGAAAACACCGCGCAGCAGTTTCTAACTGCCGCACAGTGATTTCTGTCACAGGCTCTGGAAACTGAGGGGCGTCAGAAAATCTAGGGTTAGCACAGGCGCGTGGACGGCGGCAAGAGCTTACACGGCACAATCGGTCTAGGACCTCCAGGCGCCGGCTGCACCGCTCATTACCGTCAGTCACCCCATGTTCAGCAAAGCAAATGTGGGGAAGTCCTTTGCAGGCGGCTAGAACTGGCCGCCCGCAAAGGACCTCCCCAGACTTGTTTTGATGAGCATGGAGCGACTGACGGTAGTTTGTGGCCGCCGCAGCCGCTCAAACTAGCATCAGTCGACCCATGTTCAGCAAAGCAAGCCCGGGGAGGTCCTTTGTGGGCGGCCAATCCTAGCTGCTTGCTCCCAGCTCTGCGGCTGAAGTGAACCCCCAAAGCCCCGCCACCACCAGAATATCTGCTGCCGCCTCCTCCTCCTCCAACAGCACTGCCGGATTTGCTGCCCGACGCTGCGGCTGAGGTGAAGCCGCCAAAGCTCCCGCTGGCACCCCCGCCTGTGGCAGCGACACCTCCCCCTACACTTGAAGCACCTGAGCTGGGCCCCGCATTATCCCTCCCCCCCCCCTCCTCCTCCGTGCTTTTGAGGAGCCATGAGGCTGCGGGAGCCAGTAGGAAGGCGGAGGGGGCGAGAGCAGGAAAAAAAGGCCTCATGGCTTCTCAAAAGCACGGTGGAGGAGGAGGGGGGGGGGGATAATGCGGGGCCCAGCTCAGGTGCTTCAAGTGTAGGGGGAGGTGTCGCTGCCACAGGCGGGGGTGCCAGCGGGAGCTTTGGCGGCTTCACCTCAGCCGCAGCGTCGGGCAACAAATCCGGCAGTGCTGTTGGAGGAGGAGGAGGCGGCAGCAGATATTCTGGTGGTGGCGGAGGCTTTGGGGGTTCACTTCAGCCG